CTAATGCATTGTACTTATACACTCATGGTTTTCAATTATTTAGCTTGTATGAAGTTCCCGTCTGTAGTGCATTGAATGAAGATTATAAAACACTAGCATAAGAGATTTTGTAAATACAGTATGCTAACAGATCATTTCTAAAAAGCACAGCTACAGGATGAGATAAAGTGCAAACTTACTCTGTCAAATATTGTTAACTATGCAAGAAATATAAAGTGTCCTGAAGCACTTGCATACAGAGTTTTCAAAATATAATTTTAAGAGTATTCATGACATTTTTGAGCATACACCAGAATATTTTTTAATTATGTGTAGCAATATCTACAGTGAATGTTCGTTCCTCAAGAGTTCTAATTTCAGTTGATTATAACATAATATTTTACTTTTTGTCTTAAATTTGGCAGGTTTGCTGTGAGTCCAGGACTTAATATTTTTTTTAAGCTTGTGCCAAAATGGTTCAGCTACTTTCAAGAACCAAGGGAGTGAACAAAATATACTTTCCCATTTTACATAAACACACACTTTCCAAAAAAAATTCACCCTGAGGCAGACACCTGGCATGGGAAATTTCAGCCCATACAATTAAAGTCTGGCAAAGTTATAAGTAACTGAAACAGGGTCTTGTAATGGGAAGTGTCAGGCAATCTCAACTGTAAATAGTTCTGTCAGATCTGAGTATATTTTTACACAACCTTAACTCCTCCCCTTCTGCTTATTCATTATTATTAATATAGTACTGCATTTTCTATGAAGCAGCTCTGTTCACTAAAAAGTGAACGAGACAGCCTTGTGTACTGAATTGGTCTGGGATCCAGTGCTACCTTTCTACATTCAGGGACTGATCCAAAACTTATTAAAGACAGTGACAATAGGTTTTGGATCAAGTTCCACACTGCAGAAACAGGGTATGATGAATGAAGCACGTTCCCCTGGAAAACAAAAAAAGCTCATGTGCCACTGGACAGACAACGTGGAGATCCGTAGTCTTTTACTGCCTCTCTTACAGATTTTGCATGTGACCTTGAGCAAGCCACTTAATCTCTATACCACAGTCTCATATTTGTAAAACGAGGATAATACTTCTTGACTTTGCAGGAGTGTTTCAAGGATCAATTCATTAGCTTTTGCAAGATGCTCACCTACTAATGTAATGAGCATTATAGAAAAGTATTCAAAGAAGGAAAAGCAATCCTTATGTACAGCAGTGTTTGAATGGTGTGTAGTGTATAAAGCCGGCATGGAACTATAGGGAAAATAAGATTAAGGCAACTGTCCAGTTTTTCTTGTCCACCTCAGACACTGAATGAAATGTATTCCTGTAAAAAATGTTGAATGTGATTTTATAATAAAATGCTGTAATGCATATGCCCAAAGGCATATAACGGGGCAGGCAAACTTAACTTGTCTTGGCTTGGCTTCTGAGTGCTTTACTTTATAACCTTAACTATTTTAATAGAATTTTAGTAGACTGATACTAATACCTGATAGCTTTACTGTGAATTAGCAATATGGCATGCACATACTCAAAGTTAACCACATTAGTAAGTGCTTGTCTAATGAAAGAAATAAATATAGTTTGGTTTTAATTATTTATTTTAATATTTCTCAGTATACTATATTAGCAAAGAAGCTGTAATAAGGGAGGCAGTGTGACCTTGTGGATAGAGCACTGGATGGCACTCACGAGATGTTGGTTCTAGTCTTGGCTCTGCCACTGGCCTTCAGAGTGACCTTTGGCCAGTCACTTCACCTCTCTGTGCCTAAGTGTTGGTCCATTCTACAGTGTTAGGATGATATAAACTGCCTTAATGTCAGTGTACACATTACTGCACTGTTCCTGTCAATGTTAAGTGCCCTACTGCTCCAACATCGTAACTCCACCTCCACAAGACACTTAGGCTTTGTCTACACTGCAGGGTTTTTGCACAAGAAGCCTTTTGCAGAAGAGTTCTTGTGCAAAAGCGCATCCAGACCTCAAAGAGCATCGCAAAAACGATGTTCTTTTGCGCAAGAGAGTGTCCACATTGCATGGATGCTCTTGTGCAAGAATGCTCTGATGGCGATTCACAGAATGGCCATCAGAGCACCTGTGCTTTTTCCCCGGTAGGGGTTTCTTGTGCAAAACCCCCTGTGGAGTGTCTACACCTGCCTTTTTGCGCAAGAGCTGTAGAGCAAAAAGGAGTTATTCCTCGTGGGGAGAGGAATAACTCTAACAGCAAAAGCCCTCTGTTCTGTCGATTTTCTTGAGCAAAAATGTGCTTGAGGTGTGGACGCTCCACCAGTTTTTGCGCAAAAACAGCTGTTTTTGTGCAAAAATGGTGGGTTTTGCGCAAAAACCTTGTAGTGTAGACATAGCCATAGGGTGTATGCTGGTATATATAGGGTGATGCAGAATCCCTGTAGATATCTTACATCTACTGGCTGTCATTCTTGTCAATTTCATGGCTCCCCCGGACAGGAAAGTCAGCTGTGGTTGCTGAGCTGGGTTGCTGCCTGGACTCCACTCCAAGATGGACTGATGTTCTCTGTAAGCTGTTCCCTCAATGTTCCCTGTAAGCTGGGTGTGGCAGCACAGCTTCACAGGTGATTAATCAGCCCCGCCCAGTCAGTCAGCTCCATGCACCAAGCCCTGAGCCTCTGACTGGGCCGTGACGATTAATCACCTGTGTAGCTGTACTGCTGTGCATCTTAGAGGGAACACTAGCTGACAGCCAGAGTCTTGGCTCAGACTACTGCCCAGGCTCTCTCTTCCCTGTGGTGAGCTCTGCTGCCTCCTCCCTGCACCAGGTTCCTGGCTTCCCGCTCCTGTCCTGTTTGCCATCCACGGTCCTTAGCTCTTGGCTCCCCAGTGGGAGTACGGCAGACAGGTCGACTTTGAGTGTGGTTTTCCCTGCCAGGAGCCTGACTGGGCTCACTGCTCCATGCTAGGATTGGGACAGTCACACAAGGCTTCTCAGCAATATGCTGGGAGCATAGCAACTGACTGCACTCTGGATGCGCAATTTTCCACCGGGAGCCTGGCTGCTCTCCGGGGCCTCAGCTCCCCATTGGGAGCATAGCTGTGCCCAGTGGGGAGCTATGTGCTCAAAATCCAATCAAATGCCACATGCCTGGTGAAGGGGAACAGAGCTTCCTGCAGGGAGATCTATGGCCAGTGTTTGCCCTGTTCCAACTGGAGTGTTAAGTGGGGAGAGGCAGCCCAGTAGGAAGCCAGGCAAAGAGCTATGTGGAGTTGACAGCCCTGGCTCTCACTCCCCTGCACTGCCCCTCTCTAGCTGGTGGAAGTGCTCCTGAAGAGCGCACGCATCACTGAACGAAATGCTGGCAGCATGGACACAAATCACCACAATTATTACTACAGTGGTTGTAAGTCAACCTAATCTAGGTTACCTTCAGTTTACATAGTAAACATGCCCTAAGTTTCCCCATCTGTAAAAGGGGAGTTATGATTCTGACCTTCTTTGTCTATACGGCAGCGTTATTTTGTAATAATGTCAAAGAGCACGTCTACACTACAGGCTGTTATTTCAAAATAATGTCGAGCTGGAAGACTTCTTACACTGACTCCTGTAACCCTCATTTTATGAGGAGTAAGGGAAGTCAGAGGAAGAGTGTTCTTTCTTTGACTTCCTGCTGGGTAGACAGTGCCAAAAGTCGAATTAAGCCATTTCGACTTCAGCTACGCAATTGACATAGCTGAAGTTGCGTAGCTTATTCCAACTTTAGCCCTGCTGTGTAGACGTACCCTTTGAGATCTATGGATGAAGAACTAGGCACTATTATTATTAGGTGACAGTAATACAAGACCTCAGCCCCATTCTGCTGTTAAATCTTTGCTGAGAGAGAGGAAAAGGAACTGTCTTTTTTTAGTGTGAATTACAAAGGTTTTGATATCAAACACAGCAGTTTAGGACATTCAAAGATATATACTTGATTGTTGTGTCTTTTTTCATTCCTACAATGATACATATATCAGCTTGACAAAATAATTTGGTTATGGTAAAATGTCCACCCTGAAATACAGTAAAACTCCGATGGTCTGGCATCTGACGGTCCGGCACTCCTGATGGTCCGGCACCATCAAGAACCCGGAAGTGCTCCGGGCAGCCGGACCATTGGAGCTGCTCTGCCCCCGGCTTCCCCGATTCAGCTGCTGGGCAGTTTCAGGAGCAGCTGGCTTGGGGAAGCCTGGCCAGCTGCCCCAGCACTTCCGGGTTCCCGCTGGTGCCGGGA